ATGCAGTTACTGTTCTTATCTATCGTCAAGCATTGTAATCTCATAAAAATGATCTATAATATTTCATAACACATTCTTAATTTTAAGCTCAAAGATAAAAACCAACAGGCTCAGTGATGACAGTATAAAAACCAACATAGTTTTTATGAGGCAGCTGAGTTTTCAATTACAGTCAAACATACTTTGGCGAAACATGTATGTAAACAAACTTTGATAGAGTCATGGGGGCTCGAGCACTCCTTGCTCAGAGCTTTTGGCGGGAATCAACTGAGAAAGAGCAAACCAGTTTTAAACTTGAGAAAATGTTCAAGCAGTTTTTCATTGGCTTGCAAAATAAAATTGTTCGACTCCGCAGTACCCAGATTTTGACAACCTTATGCATCAGACGAAATTGAGTACGATTGACTCACCCGGTGAGTAAGCTGAAGTAAGCGTGCATGATACAAATGACACAGCGTAGCAAGCGGCTGAATTTTTAAGTATAGCGATGAATTATGACATTCGGTGTCATGTATAAATATAAATCTGAAACTGTATAATCGAATAATGCTTAAATTTTATTCTATTTTCGATTAGTTATATTTTTAAGTGATAAGCAAGCTAGGATTGGGCGCTCTAGGATCGATCTTTGGAAGATCGATTTTTTCATCCCCATTTACGATTTTTCGGATCGATTCTTTGTCCACGAAGAGATCGAAAAAATCGATCTCTTCTTTCGATCTGTTCGATCTTCAAAAAAAATAGATGTTAAATTTTTTAAGTGTATTTACATCGAAAAAAACCATTTACTCTCACCGCAAACTGCGTTGTAAATTTAACGAACATAACGTCAACATCAGCATCGCTACCTACAATGACGTCCCTATTTGCGTTTCCGATATTTACGAATACAGCAATATTTGAAGGTTTAGGCTACCTCCCTCCTGTTCTCATTGCTCCTTACCGTCACGACATCATTTAATTGAATATTATAAACGAAAGAATTTCTTGCGGTACGAACGTAAACAAGTGTATTAAAATAAGAAACAAAATGCAATCTTCACTTTCTTCTCTGCTTCAGAAACCTAACTTAAACTGAAGACAACAAATCAAGAAGACTGGCAACTTTGCCAGAATCCAAGCGACAGATACAATGGCGCTGCGCTTGAGTGAAGTGGAAGCAACGCATAGAAAAATGAGCAAATACACAAACCCTTCTTCTGAGGATGTAATCTTTGCAATCAAATTCGTTCGGAGCATTTACCTTTGAGCGGCAGATGACGCAATTGTACCTGCACTCTTAGAAATAACTACTTTTACACGAGACGTAATCCATGTTGAACGTAAATCATAGAACGTAAACAAACATTTCATGTAAAATTAAGTGTTCTTAAACCGAAACATCAACTATTCGACGAAGAGAACGTTTGATTGAACTGATTTTCACGTTTCTTTCAACTGATTCTTATGTCAAAAGGCCCGCTTACATGTGTCGGTCTCAGGGAACCGAAATGTACATGACTTTTTAGTAGTGTGTGTCTCATAGCGTTCATATGAGAAAATGGAAGAGTTGCCAGTCTTCTTGATTTGTTTTTTTCCTTGTTTTGTTTTCCGTCGGTCTTGTTTTCCGCGCTGAGCACCGACGCTACCGACGCCAAGAAGGCAGCTCCCACACCTGGACCCTACCTATCGACCCATCAACTCATGAACCGGGGACCAACGGCTTTACTTCCCTTGATCCCGTGATCAGAGATGCTATGCTTCAGAACATTCCGGCGGTGCCGACTGGGATTGAACCCAGGCCTGCTGGGGTGAGAGGTAATCACGCTTACCACTACACCACCGGCACCTCGACCTTTTGATTTGTTGTATTTGCTTCTTGATTTGCTGTCTTTGCTTAAACCTGCGTTTTTGTGTACTATACTGAGGTGCAAATCAACAAAAATGTCTGACGAAATAGTATCAGTTCCTATTGTAGTCGATGTCAATGTCAAATTTAGTGTACATTGATCACAGCAAAATAAGTCAACATTGATCAACTCAAGGTAGTTATGTAGGGGAAATTATGTCAATTCTTAACCATTACATTAAATTTAAATACATTATCTCATGCGTAAGATGAACCGTGGTCTGATTATGCTAACGTGAATTGTCGCGAGTTTAGAACCATAACCGAAACATTGGAATATTTAAAAAAATTAAGATAAAGTATAATAATCAAAAATGCATGACATAGGGGAAAAGTTGGCTTCGGCAATACCTTAACCTATTATCGTCATGGGGGTAAACAACGTCCTTGAGAGCTCAATTTTGGCATGTGGATACATTGTGTTTCAGAGCAACTATTGGCCAAATTTGAATGCTCTAGGACATTGTTTACCCCCTGACAATAATAGGTTAAGGTATTGCCGAAGCCAACTTTTCCTCTACTTCAATTTTGCGTAGTTCTACGTCATACTGCGGTCGTGTCTAGGACACAACCCTTTATTATTTTTTTTCTTCAAAAATCTGGTTACTGCTATGCTACGATGGTAGAAAAGTTAAAATGTATTAACACAACTTAAAGTCTGGAAATAAATTAAATTGTTTGTATTATATGTCTATTGAGTAGCCCTTAGTCTTTCTACTACCGTTCCCTCGACCGTTCTAATAACCATATTTTATTAAAATAATTTGTTAGCATAATAAATATATTTTGAGATCGCACCAGAAATTTTTTGAAATCATCATCACTTTCATAGTTCTTCCTTTCTCCACGGGAGCTCACTTTGATTATTCAATAATGTTTTGGTTTGCATGGGCATACTTCGGTTCGCGTGAAAAGGGCCATGCAAGTGTTGTTTATAAAAGATAATAGGCTCTTCAAATGTAACGTGAGATAGTGATTAATATAGTAACTGAGAATATATCCCTCGAATGAGCATTGAAAAATAAAACAAAACTTATTTATGATGGTAAATTACATTGAATATTATTATAAATTGGTGCACAGGTAAAAAATGAGGCATGCGATGTCTCTGACGAATCGATTTTATTTTTCCCTCTGCGGATTAAAAAAAAATATCGCATGATTGTTAACTAGGGCCAATGAACTAAGTTTGAGCCGGAATTCAACCATTTTAAATCACTTCTAATTTTTCAATAGGGATTCGATGTTTCCATAAAATGGTTGATCTTATCGAAACGATGTCTGAGACAAAGCTGTAGGGAACTGGATTGCGTTTTAAGAAAAATCATTGAAAAAACAGCTTCATGCAGCAATTTCAGCAATATTACGAATTATGATCACGAGTCTGAGTCAATTTCAGAAAACTTATGGATTAACTTCAAATATTTTTTATTATTTTTTGTTCTACATTCACTTGTTAAAACATCTAATGTAACTCGGTTTCGCTATAAGTTTCAAGACTATTTATAAACTATTGAAAAAAAAACATTAGATTTATCCAGGACCAGTGCGCAAAACAGTCAGGTCCAATGATTCATTTTCATATGAATATGAACTGCCATCTGCCTCATCATGCTGTGAGAGTCTGAATGATTGAGAGGTAAACGAGTCACTGACAGCCGAGCACTCAGTAAGGCTCTGAACCACTTGGTGATTTTTTTTTTACCTTTTGGTTAAAATTTGACAGATGGAAAGTTATCGATGAACCCAGCTATCTGAGCATGGTTAATTCCGGCAGACAAGAAGTTAAATTATGAAAACCGTGGCTGTAAAACCGGTCGATCGACACCACGGGGATATTCGAAAATAGAAAATAACTTTCAAAGTGTCACTTATGGCGTCTTAGCTACTGATTTAAAACCTTTGTTTTAGTAATTTAATTAGATATCAATTTAAGGTTCGCAAAACAGAGCTTGTGTGTCATAATAATGCTGCAGTTTTTGCAAACGCTCCTGATGCCAACCTAGGGCTGTATTTTTAAACTGTTTGTTCTGGAAAAAATATTTTAAGAATCAACTTACTACAACACAAAAAGGTGTAGGTCAATTAGGCTGAATATTAAAAAGTAAATAATGAAACTTTGAGTATTCCTTGGAACAATTTTAAATGCTCTGGAACTTTGAAAATTAAATAAAATAAATAAATACAGAGCACAAATATTAAAAAAAAACAAGAGCACGAATATCTGCTCCAATAATAAAAATAAATATTAAAAGGGATCTCAACGGAGTTGAATTTGCATAACGTGAAGTTTATGCAGTTTCCGAGATTTGTATTCTTAAACATTTGAAGTGAAAGTGCAAGTCTGTCATCATGTCGACCATACTTGGACTCCATCATGTATGTCCTTAAATTGAAACAACGCAGATGTCGAAAAGTGAACAGCTATAACAATTCCGGCTCAATGACCCATTCGGCATATTGGCATTCGGCCTATTGACCCATCAACCACATAAATATTGACCGAGTTTTGTTCCTGTCAAAATGTTTGCAATCCTTTACCTTATCCCTTTGTTAACCTTTAGGACTATGATTTGAGGCTTTTAATCATTATAGCATCGTAGCCTTTTGTGATTCCTAAGTAATGCATACATAGGGCTTTAGTATGTCCTACACTTATAAAAACTGAATAATGTTCTTTACAAACCTGTAACCATTTGCAATTTAGGCTGATTTTAAACTGATAGCACTAGCAGTGCTGAATTGATATAGATTTAAGGTTCTGGACTAATGCTTGCTACTGGTTTGCTGAAAACCCATGGAAAAAAATGCCACTAGTTTAATATATCTGACGACTCAAATCCCATCATTCGAATGAAATCGTTGTTAGACAAGGCCAACACGGTCGGGTTGCCTCATCGATATGTTTTAGTGAACACCATTCTCACCAGATGCAACTACGCACTTTTGAACTATTTTAAGCTCAATATTACATTGAGTAAAACATCACCCACCGGTCCAGCGCAAAACCCATGCGCGGACAAGTGCGGTTCTCTTCATTCAATCCAATTTATCTCACATATTTTCATCGTCAATTTTATAATCATCCCCTTGCTCTCTCACATAATTACAGCTGACCGAGCACCTTGGACCGAGCACTCTTTCCCAACACCCAACAGCACACTTTGGAGAGAAGGTGAATGATTAATAATTTATGACATTGCGCGAAGCGCTCCTCTTTATCTTACTATACCCAGCCAGAGTGGCCTCGTCCATTCACTCCCCCCACCCCCTCCAATTCCGGTAGAAACAGTAGTCTCTTTACAATTTTAATTGATATAAATTTCCAGTCTAAACTTCGCCGAAGCACAAGGCGTAAGACAACGAATCCGAATGGGTCCCACGGAGTCTCTAGAGTTGTTGCGCGAGACTTTGGACACATTCCCATATGAAAAACAAGTGCAGACGTTTCACAATCCGAGGCTTAACCGTATCTACACACGCATCCGTGGAATCGCCCAAAAATTCGGCGATTTTCTCACATATATTAGAGTGCGAAATATTTGGATCGTCGTTTCTTTTACTTTTTCTTTTTCGGACCCATTCATAGCTTTAGTGTCCGTCCCGTACGACGCGTATATGTATGTGGATCATTAACGATCTCCAGGGAGCCACAATGCGAAGCACCTCAAAATCAGAAAACAAAAGAAAATAACTGCCTCTTTTGGGTCCCCCCCCACCCCCTCCGCGGGGACTAAAATTTTCCCGTCCCAATAAAAACAAGCTTTCTAACGGTGAATTTTCCGCCAAACACCTACGGCGGCGGAGGTCATTCGGTCGAAATTTAGACAGATGAAATGAAGATGATATCGGGCAGCTTTATTTTTTACGATCCTAATCTTAATGTGACCGCACTTTGGGTGTGTGCGTGTGGAGTGGCAAAATTCCCCCTATTAAGGTGATGTGAGTGCAGAATTCTTTCCGCGGGAGATTTTCATCTTGTTGGTCCGAAAAAAATAATATGAAGAGAACCAGCATCGAAATGTAAACGCAACCGAAATGAATATGTATGTATCTTTATATGGTCATTGTTTTTCCCAAGCGATATTTTCGGCGACGACGACGACGGCGACGGATGGAGCGACCCCACGAAGGCAGAAACAATGGAAATATCTTAATTTTTATTGCGCTCATACAGCCAATGTTTTTCGCGCCCGTTAGGTGACCCTTCGGCTGCTGTTTGGGCTGCCGAGAGTGGTGATTAAAATTTTGGACAAATGGCTTTTATATGGAGATGCGTTGGAAGTATGCGGTGGGAGGTGGCAGTACCGCTTTGCTCTCCAAGGGGTGCAATTACGACTCGGTCGAATCTAGGTGAGGGAGTCGAGGTTTGAGTTTGAATTGAGAATTTTTTGGAACTGTGTTACATTAGAGTGCAGTGCAGAGTTCTTTAATGATAGGTTGCTTGGCATGTTGATGAACACATTGTTGGTGATTTGATTTGGAGGGCGATAGGTGTTGCTTGATAAATCCTATATGTAGTGATGCCCTTTATCCACCTGCTAATCTTCCAGCAAGTGTCATTAAACATAACCTGAATGCATTTTCAAATATCTTTACAGAACTTTTCAATAGCAAACTCGCAAAAGTGGTGCCTGTTTTTAAAGCTGGTGATGCATCTAACCCTTGCAATTATCGTCCTTTTCCCACGCTGTCTATAATCAATAAAAAAAATTGATAAATAGACATGATTTTTTTTTTTGTATGTATATTAATTTATTTGATAAGGCTCAACCGAATTAACTTTACAGAGCCGAAGATTCTTTTATTTTAACTAGTTCTTTTATTTACTAGGCTCAGTCGTGTGTGACACTTTGCGGAGACAAAAATCAGTAATGTTTGAATTTACATTTTATACAGCAGAAGTTCTAGGTTAGTATTAGGTACCAATTACTCGTGGTGGGCCCAAGATTAATGGTCGATTCGAAAGAGCTAGGAAGGAAACTTGTTTCTGAAGCCTCCTTCAGATACTAATGTCGGACGGTTGACCAAATAGCCGAGGATTCTTATTCACTACACAAAACATCTTAAAAATATAGTCAAAAGGTACAACACAATCAACATTTTATCTTCCGCTATACAATAAGCCTCCTCCACCAGAACCAGAGCAGCCGCTTCCAGTGGTTTCATTGTATGGATGATTCGCCAACAGGGGGTCAGAGCGCTTCCATTGCAGCAATGGACGCAAAACGTGGTCAGCACTCACACATTCATCACGAAACGGTTGCTTTCCAAAGTCGACGTCGCATCGACTGAAAGAACTGCTGATGAAGAACAGTGATAAAATGCCACACAATAATGGTTGCTGCCGAGAAAACTGACGATCGCGTGACACACATTGAGAGTGGTCTGCTGTTGACAGCCGAGTGAATACTGAGAAATTGATAGTTAATAGACTTGTAAAATTCTTTAACAAATTTAACAAAGAAGTAGTACTTCTACGTCAATAGTTGAACTTGTCGATTTTTTGTTGAATGAAATCGATAATAAATGTATCGTTAGAGGCCTCTTTATTGATTCAAACAAAGCGTTCGATAGTCTTAATCATAATTTTTTTACAAGAATTAGACTACCATGGCATACATGGACTAGCAAATGACATTAATCGTAGTTATTAAAGTGATAGGCAACAATTTTTTTTGTACTGAAAGGTGCACAGAGCTCGTACCGGCCAGTAAACGTAGGAGTTCCTCAAAGAAGTAATATTGGGCCTTTCTTATTTCTGATCTACATCAACGATATTGGAATAGCCAAATTATTTGCGGAAGATACAGCACCAGGCATGGAAAATCATTTGCATTCATTTCGTGCATTCATTTACATTCATTTGCCTCTAAATTTTTTCTTGAACAGCATTCCGCAAAACGATGTATAGAGCTTTTGTAGGTTTTGTTATTAGCTACAACTTTTGCTAACAAGTCAAATCCGTATCTCTTATGCATGACGAACCAGAGCGAACAGAATCCACTACTGTTTTTCAGTGAATGTATTTTACATTCACTGAAAAACAGTGACAAGTTCTGCCCACTCTAGTTCGTGATGCACAAGAGATACAGATTTGAGTTAAGAGCAACAGTTGTAGACAATAACAAAACCTACAAAAGTTCTATACATCATTTTGCGGAATGTTGTTGATGAAAAAAGTTAGAGGCAAATGAATGCAAATGAATGTAAGAAATGAATGCAAATGATTTTCCATGCCTGTACAGCACAGTTTTACCCTAAAAATTATCCTTTATCTATTGTTTCTTGCATAAACGATGATCTGCAAGTTATCATGAGATACTTTTATATAAATTTACTTTCGTTAAACTTATCCAAGACTAAATATATGATGCTCCACTCACCAAGGCAAAAATTCTTCCGCAAAATAGTCCGTCAATTGGATCTTAAGTAATAGAAAAAGTATCTAATTTCAAATACTTAGGTTTGGGGTTAGATCCTACGCTCTCTTGGGGTGATCATATAGAACACGTCCAAAGGAAAATTTCGTCTCTTTGTGGCTTAATGTATCATGTTAGCAAATTTGTGCCTAGGAGTGCTCTTCTAACGTTTTATCATGGTTGTATACGCTCTCATCTGCAATACCTTATCATTGTTTGGGAACATGCTTGCAAAGCTAAGATTAAAAAGCATCAAGTATTTATTGCAAAATCGATGTTTTAAACGCATTTTCTGCCTATTGCAATTCAAGCTGAACATTGCATTAGGTCCTAAGTAACATTCACAGATTCTCTCCGTCGACTTTCTCTTTGCATCTCCACGGCCATGTAAAGATATTCCCAGATATTTTCAGCACAAATATTGATAAAAGAAGTTGCTATCTAGCATTTAATATGACAAACACATCAAGAAACGGTTCTGTGCTCAAGTTATTAACGAAAGAGAAAGTCGACAAAGAGAATCGATCAATGTTACTTAGGACTTAATGCAATTTTCAGCTTGAATTGTATTCTACTTTCCAACTTTACACCAACATATCGCACAGTATTCTCCCATTACGTGATGAAATCAATGAACTCTTGATATAAATTCTAAAACTATATTATTAGAATTGCAGATTATTATCATTGTATAACACTCACTATTAAGCATTTAAAGGTAAGGGATTCCTTTAAGGAACTTAGTTCCACAACATTATTAAAATTGTTTGTTTTACAGATAGCTCATCACACACACCTCCAAATTATCAGCATATATTCTATTCCTTCTAACTCTTATATTTATTTTTAAATTAAAATCTTACCGAGAAGTCCATGACTAGGGAGCTCTTGATGAGAGCTCTTTGGTGTGGGGGTGAGTTGGTGGGCCTCTAAAAAATTTCAATTATCAAGTTATAACATTTGTATTTCGTTAACATTCGGGACGTATACGGTTAAAGTAAATATACTGGTTACCATCCGTAAACATAAAAAAAAAGTTCACTGGCTCACTATATGACACAACTTCAAATTAAACATACTTAGACCTTACAAGCTGTTCAGCAGGTTTATTTAACTAAAATTAATATTGCTTTTATTAGGCCCTCTACGGTCTTAATAGTCTATAAAAATAAACATTTAAAATACCTATTTGCATTCATGGCGATAGCTCGTTGGCAAAAATCATTTCACAAAATGTCGTGTGGCATAAAATCGATTTAACCAGAAAGTAATTAAGCGTAATGGTTTCAGTAGGTCAACATTATTTTTTAAAGAATGGGAAATATTTCTTAGACAACTGTGTTGACAGTTTAAGTGAGATTTTTGATCCCCTTTTCGCCCTGCGTGGATCATAAATTCTCAAGCATAAAGAAGACTGGGGCGCCCTGAGCCTCGGAAAGAACCAATTACATCATGTACGTACGAGAAATAATTGGAAATGGACGCAATACACAAGTATATGGTAAATTGGTCATTTACGAAGCATGATTTAGTATGTCAAAAATTGCCCCGTAACGTGGGTAAATCACCTTTTCGTGGTACGTTACGGGATGTAAGATCTACCACCGATTCCTAGTCCTGACTACTTCAAACTAGGGGAACAGGATTTTTCAGTAATTCAAGGAACACATCCTAGTCCTTGTTACTTTTTATGCCTTGTTGATAGTAGAGAGGTGGGCAAAACAGCTCATCTGGCTGAGTGGATAAAACCCAT